TCAGAAGAAGCTTAGTCCAAAGCAAGCTCGGTGGCAAGACTTTCTTGCGGAGTTCGATTACACCTTGGAGTATAAGCCGGGGAAAGCCAACGTGGTAGCCGATGCTTTAAGCCGCAAAGTAGAGTTGGCATCTATCAGTCGAGTTGATAGTCCCTTTCTTGGTCGCATCAAGGATGGCTTGCAACTGGATCCCCTAGCCAAAAGTCTTATAGCACTTGTGGAAGAAGGCAAAACAAGGCGCTTTTGGCTAATCGAAGGCTTACTGTACACAAAGGGGAGTCGCCTCTTTGTGCCGAAGTGGGAAAATCTTCGGCGGGAGTTGATCAAAGAGTGCCACGACTCTAAGTGGGCTGGTCACCCAGGTATGAAACGTACCCTTGCTTTGTTGAAAACCACTTACTATTGGCCTCAGATGCGGGACGAAGTGGAGTCCTACGTGAGGACTTGTCTTGTGTGCCAACAAGACAAAATTGAACAACAAACACCTGCGGGTTTGCTCGAGCCATTACCAATCCCAGAGAGGCCTTGGGAAAGTGTTTCCATGGACTTCATCACTTCCTTACCGAAGTCTGAAGGATTCGGAAGCATTATAGTGGTGGTCGATCGGTTCAGCGAGTATGCCACTTTTATTCCAGCACTAGCAGATTGCACTGCCGAAGAAACAGCTCGGTTATTCCTACGCCATGTGGTTAAACTTTGGGGAATCCCTTCTAACATAGTGAGTGATCGAGATCCTCGCTTTACGGGCCGATTCTGGACGGAGTTGTTCAAGTTGCTTGGCTCGGATCTAAACTTTTCCACTAGCTTCCATCCTCAAAGCGACGGTCAAACCGAACGCATGAATGCAATTTTGGAGCTATACTTAAGGCACTACGTGAGTGCCAACCAACGAGATTGGGCAAAGCTACTCGATGTAGCCCAATTCTCTTATAATCTCCAACGAAGTGAGACAACCAATCGAAGTCCTTTTGAAGTAATCATGGGACAGCAGCCTACAACACCTCTTGCGCTTACCACAAACTATGAAGGCAAGAGTCCAGCCGCGTTCAAGTTTGCTAAGTCATGGCATGAGCAAGCCGAATTGGCACGGGCCTACTTGAACAAAGCAACAAAGAGAATGAAGAAATGGGCAGACAAGAAGAGGAGGCCTTTAGAGTTCAAAGAAGGCGATCTTGTCATGGTAAAGCTCCTTCCCCAACAATTCAAAACTTTCAGAAGAGTTCACAAGGGATTGATTAGAAGGTATGAAGGTCCCTTTCCAGTTCTGAAACGTGTTGGGAAGGTCTCTTATAAACTCCAATTGCCTTCCAAACTCAAGATCCATCCAGTCTTTCATGTTAGTCTCCTGAAGCCATATCACGAAGACATGGAAGACCCCAGTCGAGGGAAGTCCAAACGAGCACCAACCGCCGTCGTGACATCTTTCGACAAGGAAGTCGAGAGTATACTTGCATATCGTCACATTAGAAGGCGTGGTGTGCCAAGCTATCGAGAATACTTAATCAAGTCGAAGAACTTGCCGGAAAGGGAAGCAAGTTGGGAACATGAGGATGCCCTTTGGCAATTTCAAGACCATATTCGGCAATTCCACAAAGAAGACGCGATGAGGGCATCGCGAGCTTAGGTGGGGGAGAATGTCACAATCCGCAAATTCTTGCCCCATTTTAAGTGTTAAAGGGTTGCAAGAAGACTCTAGGATTCTCTAGAATGTTCTACTATTGTCTACCATATGGAATATTCTAGATAATCCTAAAGAAGTATAGTCATTTGTCCACCTTGTGTATAATTCTTTAGAGAGTTCTAGACTAGATAGTGGTCTATAGAATTCTAGAATGTTCATAGAAGGGTCCCCTTGGCCTATAAATAAGGGGAACCTCCTCATTTGTGGAGGAAGTTCCAAGATAGCCTTGTAAAGTTCTCTTCTAGTAATACAACTTTACTTGTCTACTCTTTGCCTGCCTTCGTGAGTTTGAGTAAATTAGGCTTTCTTAGCATTTAAGTGAGTGCTAAGGCCGCACGTTTGCTTACTTGAAGAGTAAGAGCGTGACAAGGAGCTCAATTACTAATTGTAATTATGTAGCGCACTTTGAGGCTGCACTGAACCATGAAACAATTCCTTTTCTTTGAATACACTCTCAAGTTAAGATGAAATGTTTGTTTTTTTTATTTTCATATAAAGAGCGTTTAGCCTCTCGGAAACACTGCCATTATGGTGGAATTCAAAGATTCAAACCAGTGTGCTATAGTTTTTGTTTCAGCAGGCGAGTTGCTCAGCCCGTTGGCAATACAGTTCATATTTACGGCATTTTGTGCCTCCTTTTTCATGTCATATTTTACTTCACAAAACTAGATCACAATCCGTAGACTAGTTCTGATTGTTGTGCCCTTGTGTACAGGAAGAGTTGGAGGAGCTTGAAAAATCAGAAAGCGCCTCGACCATAGCTGCAGAGTACGTATCACTTTTGAGCTATGTTTATTCATCGTCATATTGTTCCATAACCAACGATAAATAACGAATTCTTTGAAGTAAACTAGAGAAACCAGTAATTTGCTGTAACTAAGTTATTGCATTCATGTCTCAATCTAAACTTGTTATAGCGGTTGTTTGAAAGAGCTGATCTGTGTTGTTGTTCCTCAGATTGTTATCTCACATAGAAAGCATATCAGATCCTCTACTCCCAGTGTAAGTTATTACTACGTAACTCATCTCCTCAGTTTGCAAGTTTGTAGTACCAAACAATTGCTGTAATTTCTGACATGCCATGAACATAACAGATCTTATTTGATTTCACAGAACAATTGCCCCTTTAAACGTGTTATGGGATCGATGGTTCGAGGGGCCGCAGGCTTCACAAGGCTGTAGGTGTGTCATACTCTGATCTGAAGCAAGATTTTTCTCCATCTGATTCAACACGGTTTCATTTCATTCCAGGTGCGTGATTAAATTCTGAGATTCTGTAAATCTGAATATATACTGACCTAATAAGTTACTAACGAAGGCGTTTTTTTTTTCCCCACTTTTTTCCATAATTTTTTTCCTCATATTTCTTAGAACAAATCTCCACTAACTTTATGGTCTCAAGAAGTCCATTTTCCACATCCAAACAAAGTTGTCTGTTATGGCCACTTTTGTTCTTTAACCATACTTTTAATTTTAATATTATATACATGCAAATCCACAGAAGCCCCTTGAAGAGCACGGAAAATACATAAATGCCTTTGACTCGTTGTAAGCATCTCCAAAGGTGTAGATGGACAAAACTGTTGGGAATTGGCATTTCAAAGATTGGACGAGACCATGTTGACTGCAATTAAAAGAGTTTGAAAATGTGGGTCAATTTTTTTTAAGGTTATATTTGAAATTCTAGTTTTTGGTTAGGTTGAGGCACCGTTTTACGCTTTAGCAACACTCTTTCTTTTTCTTTTTCCGTTTCCCTTTGTTGTTTTGTTGCCGATTGAATTGTAGCTTATTTTCTGTTTCCTTTACTTTTATCATAATCTAACTAATTATCATTATTAATGTTAATACTTAATCGAGTATCAAATTTAAGTCTCGTTCACTTCGCAGATTCGAGTTTTCAATTCGGGCTAAGATGTGACATTTTTTGAGAGCTTTTCACTATAGCAGAAAAAGTTAGATGTGACATTTTCTGAGAGCTTTTTACTGTAAAAACCTAAAATTGAAAACTCGAATTGGTGAAATGAACGAAGCCTAATTTTTTAGTGTGATTGGATGCATTTTATTAGTTTTGAGTCTTCTTTATACATAACATAATATTTTAATAAAAAAATTGTAAAACTGTATTTTTGGGCAATTGGGACAGTTTGGAAAGTTAAAACTAGGGGTGTTCGTCGGTTCGGTTTTGTCGGTTTTGGTCGGTTCGGTGGCCGAACCGATCATGTCGGTTTTCTAAAAGTTAGAACCGAAACCGAACCGCACCTAACAGTTTCGGTTCGGTTAACCGAATTTCGGTTTCGGTCGGTTTTTAGTTTTGGTAATCAGGAAGATGACCTCAGTTAACCATTAGGTTACCAACATCTTTAATTGCATTTTTGACCCGCAAGTACGAAAAAATGTAAAATTTTCCTTCAATGTAAAGTTGTAAACACATAATCACAATAAATGAATACAAGCACAACATCAAAATTGATAATTGCACAAATACAAGTTTAAAAAACATTTAAATTGTCATAAGTAAAACAAAACGAAAAAAAAAAAAAAAAAAATCACATCTCGGTCGGTTCGGTTTTAACCGACTCTCTACACGCAAAACCGAAACCGAACCGACTTTTGAGAAAGTCGGTCGGTTAACCGAACCGACTGTGTTCGGTTCCACGTGGCACCGTCGTTTTCGATTTTAAGCAGTCGGTTTTTCGGTCGTTTTCGGTTCGGTTTCAGTTTTACGGTTTTTTTGTACACTCTTAGTCAAAACCACCAACCAGACCATCAAAATTGATGTAAAAATTCGATCAAACCACCCAATAATCTAAAATTAATTAATAACTTGGTTCAGTTTGATTTGGATTGGACGATTTTGAAGGTTATGCAGTTTTTTTTACACCCTTATGCATCATAAAAAGCTTCAGTAAGTGGCTTGAGTTCTACGTCTTTTCATTTCCTTTCCCTTTTTTCCCCCCTTTTTCTTTTTTTAGAATAACCAGAAACAGTTCTCAAAAGTTGTAAGTGGAAAATGTAAGTACAATTTTGCAAGTAAAAAGACTCATTTGACTGTTATACCTTTTCGCTCTTTCCACAGCTCAAACAAGCTCATCACTTAGTATGCATGGAAAGGAAACCCAATTTGTATTCCCTACCTACAGATTGATTGTTGATCCTAACTTAACTGGATCTCCTTTAGTCGTTGAAAGGCCAATGAAAGAGCAGGATTAAAGAAAAACTACTTTGAAAGTAAAGCAACCTGAATAGGGATTGAAATGGGAATTAAGGGGGGCTAAAGTGAAATGATAAAGAAATAAAGAAGATATTAGCAGTTGGCAGAATAAGGTCATTTTACCTCAATTACTACAAAGTCAAATCAAGATAAGCTTGATGATCTAATTGAAAACACCTTATTTGGTCTCATGCAAAAAGTTGGAATCCAGGAGAATGACTAGCTGTACACATGTTGACATGGTTTTTTGTCATTGACATCGTTACATAAACTGACAGAAAAATTTAAATAAAAACTAAAAATAAAAATCCCTCATGGCCAATTTACATATATGTACACTCAACAGAGCTACAAACGGCAGCCAAAGTACCCTAGTGAACATAATCTCTCCCATGTCCGATCAAAGAACTTGAGCAGACAAGAGGTGCTTAAGCTGATGTAAGTGTTCATCATTTGAAATGTGTAGAGAAAGGCGCAGATTTGTCAACAGAGACTCTTGTTCCCAACTCAAGGGACCTGAAGCATAGAGTGCCTGCACTGTTGACTTGTACGCTTGAAGCTCCAAATTGTGGATGTCAACTTCCAGTTTATGCCCGGGAGATGAAACTTTGTTCCGTTTACTAGACACCGTTGGAAATGCAGACTCGGCGTCGGAGCCATGAGAAACATTTTCATCAATTCTGTGGGAAACTCCTGTTGTCCATTCAGCAGTTTCGTTCAAACTACAACTAGCAACCGAGCACTCGTTACTATCTTGCATCGAGTCGTTTGTTGTTTCTTTTTCTGCTTTGACATTGTTGTCTACTACTTGTAGAGAAGTAGAATTACCAACCTGCCTAGACAAAGAATGTCTCATTATCAGGCGCTGGTTACATCCTTCTGCATCTGGGTTCGTCGTTCTTTCACAGATTGCCTCTAGTGGAGCTCTGCAACCTAAGCCAAAACCTGAACTTTCCTGTCTAGAACTGTTGACTTCCTGCTTATGGTTTTGAATCTGTGAACACATTTTATCAGACATCAGAAACTCCCAAAACAATATCAGATATTAGATTCGAAAATTTTTTTGCACATATTTCTTTTTTACGGTCTGGGATCTATGACTGCCATTTTACTAACAAGAAATAAAACCACTAAAATTCGAACACCGGTGGGCACGCACACATTAACAAAAAGATAAGTACAAAGCAAATTGATTCCCTTACTTTGACAAAATCCGACCACTTATTCTCACGCCAAACTTGACGAAACCTTAAATTAGAAACATGAAACTCCTTAAGTTGGATTGACCCGAAAAACTTAACAACCAAACGCTTATTCCTCAACACTTTTGCAACCTTCCCAACCCTCCAACACTGTGAATCAAATACCTCAGCTATATCACCTGCAAACCATCTTTGTTTTTTTCTCTTCTGATCAAGTGGAGGCTGAGGCCTTATTTTCTTCTTGGGCACTCTTTCCACAACAAAATCTCCTCTGTGGTCAACAAGAAACTTGTACCTGATAACATAGTGATCCCCATCTAATCCGATTGTAGTACCAGAATACCATGAACCGTACGGATCCTTATCTTTTCTTAACACCTCCACTGAACTTCCTTCTTTGAACTTCATTTTCAATACCCTTTTGAAGTTTGAACCTGAAATTACCATTAAAGGGAAAATTTAGTATTAGAAAGTAAAGATGTTTGGAGTCTAAAATGGCTTTACAGAACAGATTAAAGGATCTGTGTTTTAAGTTATTGGTACCCAATATTTGACTTTTCCAAAAGGTAATTTATGATTTGGATAAATTGGGAATCGTTACGTCTAAAGAATATTGATTGTTAGAAAGCTGAAGCAACAAACTTCACAAGGAAATCATAATTCATAACATCAAGCAAATTGATAAATGAAAGGCTTTGACAATCCATTACATCATGATTAATGGGCACTAAACATGGATAAGATCTTGCTTCCACAGAAAAAAATAAAATAAAATAAAAAATAAAAAAAGTAAAACACTACTACTACTACTTGAAGCTAAAAATCAAAATGAAACTTTAGATTAAATTTCCTAGAAAAAAAAAAGTGATCAATTATATATTACCCATGTACAAATTTGATTATTAAAAAAAAAAAAACAACACAGATATAGTGTAATACAGAAAACGGAAGAGAGGATTGAATTGAGAAAATAGAAAGAGATCAACCTTGGACTGTGGATTGGAAAACGAAAACACGTATGGTGTCTTTTTGCGAAAAGCGTGGGTGGGGTTTTATTTATTCATTGGCGATCAAAATCCTTCCGAGTAAGAGCAACTTAAAACCCGTTTTCAAAAGTTCATAGTATTATTACGTAATCAGGAATTCAGGATAATGGGCTAATATTTAACTGCTTCTTCAGCTCTTTTTTTTTTTTTTTTTTTTTTTTTTTTTAATTTTGAATTCTAATTTGACCGTTAATACGATTCCTTCCATTGAAATTACATGCGCATCCTCTTGTGGTGTCGTTTCTTGATGAATATCCTTTGTTGTGTCGTAACTGCGTTGTTTCCTAATGCAACGACTTTATTTTCAGCCTTTAAAAAAATAAAAAATAAAAATAAAAACCCATTTTTCAGCGTTTTGGATGCACACGTGATGGGATGGATTATGGACGGATTGAAAAAATATCTCAATTTTTGGCTGCTATCTGTGAAAGGATCGTAGAGTGTAGAGTTTAACAAAAAGAAAATATATAAAAATATGATTTCTTATTGTCTTTTTTAAGTTTTAATCCTCTGTGTTTGGGTAATTTCTTTAGAAATAATGTTAAAAATGTTTTTAAATCAAAATGCAATAATAAACCATGTAAAAAAAAAAAAAAAAAAAAAAAAGGAGCAGAGAGGGAGTAAGGGTCCAAAATGGATTGCCCTCCACTGCCAGCCGAGGCCTGACTGTCATCAGGCTGTTGGACTTGCAATTTAATACGGGCTTTTCTACTTTTAGCCCAATCCAACTACAGAAAGCTCCAAACTTTCAATCCATCTTCCTCTATTTTGGTCACAATCCCATATATGCAGAATCACAAATACTATTAACCGTACCTTTTGTAGCAGCCAAAAAAAAAAAAAAAGGGGGCTGTACCTTTTGTCCCATTTTTCTTTCTCCCTGGTTGAAATGAAATTAAATCTGATAAACTTTGTAAATCCACATGTTTTATGACTATGCCCATGTAATTAAGTCATAGGGATAGCTCGAGCTTGAAGAATTAAACCCGCTAATCAAATGATCACCAACGGGCTTACGCAACTGATTCGGGAGAAAAACTCGAAAAATAAGAAGTATGGTTAATTTTTTCATGTCAATCTTAAATTTGAAGCACCATTTAGGGTCCATTCAGTTCGTTGATTCGAGTTTTTAATTCAAGTTGAGATGTGATTTTATGTGAGAGCTTTTTATTGTAATAAAAAAGTTAGATGCGACTGTTTTTTAGAGTTTTTGACTGTAACAAAACTTAAATTTTAAACTCGAATCAGAAAAATGAACAAAACCTTAAAAGTGGGACAACTCAAACATGAACTTAATAATAGTCTAATGAAAGTCATGGAAATGGACCTTTTCACTTTCGGCTTGAAACTTGACAGCCTCCAATACATCAAGCCTAGTAGTGGTGATAGTACTAGTAGACCAAGAAGGCGCGTAAACAACGCTTAGCCAAAAAAAACAAAACAAAATTTAAGCTTGGATCACCTGAAACTTGATAGTACCTTTGGCCCAAGAAAATGAAGTCAGTGAGAAAGAATAAATAAGAACACTGAGAAAATGATAGAAAATACATAATATGCCAAATTGTTTACCATATTTGGAACGATTTGAAGGACATATCTAGTTCAAAATTATAAAAATAAAAAAATAAAAAATAAAAACAGTATTTAGAGGCTCTAAAGTCTGAAGTTAATTGATGCTAATTGCAAAGCTCTCAGAATATTTCGTTAAACTTGGGCCCAAGTTACGGACGTTGGCCTTAAAGAGCTCCAAACCCCCTCATTGATTCTCATTAAACAAGCGAACAATTTTGACACATAATATACCAAATTATTTACCAATTTTGACACATAATATACCACATAATATACAAAGGGAGAAAGAGAAAAATAGGCCAAGACTTGAGATGAATTAAAATTAATAGGTCAATAGTTTACATAAGTTAATAAATATGTCAAATTACTGTTTTCATCATAACTTGTCTGGTTATGAACCATAACTTGACAAGTTATTGTCCATAATTCACGGTTTTTGTTCATAACTTGTCTGGCTATGAACCATAACTTAACAAATTTGTCCATAACTTATTTAGTTATAAACCATAACTTGACAAGTTATGACCTATTAATTTCTATAACTAAAAGTTGGCCTATATACTTTCTTAAGCTTTTCATATTGACCTATTTTCTACTATTTTCGTATACCAAATTATTTACCATATTTGGAACGAGTATTTAGAGGCTCTAAAGTCTGAAGTTAATTAATGCTGATTGTGAAGCTCTCAGAATTTTTCATTAAACTTGGGCCCAACTTACGGACGTTGGCCTTAAGAGTTCCATAACCCCCTCATCGATTCTCATTAAACAATCCGACAATTTGTGACACCTTACACTTACATATGTTCTTTCGTTTATTGTTAATAACTCCAAAGTTTCGCAACCGAAAGGGGAAAAAAAATTGCAAAACGTGCTAAAACTTGTAATTAAAAATAGAGATTGGCTGGCAAAACAGACACCATCCTCTACTCTTTATATGAAATTATTAAGGATTAGTTGGTCATTTTGAATTAATGGAGGCACGACACTAATGATACAGCTATGAGAAATAACTTTTCAACTACAAAGCCTAATGAAACATGAATAATACGTGTATAACAGAAGGACATTATTTTTGTTTTGTGTTCAGCGTCAATTATATCAAGCCATACCAAAATTGCATAGTAAAAAGTTAAGAAATAAAACGCATTAATACATGCCGTACTTGATTAAGTTTATAGAAAACTCAAAAACATATCATTATTGTATTCCTAATTACGTGATTATAAGTAAATATAAAAAAATAAAAAAAAAATAAAAAAGACAATATGACTCCCACGTTCTGATGTTCTTCGTTTTCTTCAATAAAACCCCTTAACTTAGAGAGAGAAATGTGTGTGAGAGAGAGAGAGAGAGCCATGTGATCCATCAGTGAAAGAAAAGCTAGCCCATTACTTTTGGCAGATTGGCTACGCTTCCCAAGCAAAGTGGAGAGATCAATGAACCAAAAAGTACTTGAATTCATTTTGTGAATCTTGAAAGAACCTAAAGGACCGTTAGGCATCTATTTAGGATTCTTTGGTAGGAGCATTTAAATTAGGATAATTTTAATTATGATTTTAAAATTAGAATAATAATTTATGATTTTGGGTTCGAATCATGATTTTAAAATTATTATTAAAATTCAGAGGTTTGAATCACCTTGAATCAAGATAGATGGTGGTTTTAGAATCATGATTTGAGATGGTTTAAAATATCACATTAGATTTTAAATTATGATTCAAAATCACTGTAAATAAATACTGATTTTGAATCAAGATTTAAAATCATAATTATGAATCCATCTACCAAACGCATCCTCCTTAGACTGTTTTACCATCACTTTCACTTTGTCCTCCTCTTTGGCACCATTCCTTAGTTTAATAAATGGGGAAAAAAGAAAGAAATTTCTTAATCCAATTTGATTCTTGGGAAAATGAACCTCATCAATGTTTATATGTCTTTAAGTCATTTGGACAACAACCGTGCCACTGCCTCATGCATGCATGAAATGATTTGCTTTCATTTTAAGCAAAACTCAACTAATTATTATCTAAAAAATAACATCATAATAGACACCAATTTTTATCTACCAACTGACTTGATAATTTCATTTTCGAACAAACTTAAAACATTGTGACAATATAAGCTTATAAATAAAGTTCATGCCGCCATTCTATTTTTTTTATTTAGAAAAAAAAAAAAAGCAAACGAAGCAAAAATCCCTCCAAAAAGGACTTGCACATAGTATCAAGTTTTAAGCGATCGGTGGAAAAATCTAACGGTTTAAAAATTTATGTTTTATCCTTCTGCAATTAAAAACTTTCATTTATTTATATATGAAAAAAAAAATTGAATGCTATTTAATTCAAGGCAAGTGCAGCGAAAATAAATATTCAGAGTACCAATGAAGTCTGACTTACGGTGATTGTGAAAAAACAAAAACAAAAACTCTAGATGTTGACGTGTAATCCAAATATTTTGGTACGAGTATTGAATCTAAGCTGATTTTATTCATAATTTTGGAACTATAATCATAATTTATGATTTTAAGTTCAAATCATGATTCTAAAATTATGATTTAAAATTAGGGGTTTGATTCACGTTGAATTAAGAGCAGAGTGGTTTTAAAATCATGATTTGAACTAGTTTAAAACATCACATCAAATTCTGAATCATAATTCAGAATCATAATTCAGAATCATCTAAACTAAATATTGATTTTAAATTATGATTCAAAATCACTGTAAATAAACACTGATTTTAAATTATAATTTAAAATTATAATTTAAAATTACTATAAACAAATACTTCTAAATTAAGATTTAGAATCATAATTTTAAATCCATATACTAAACGCACCCAGATATAAATGGTAAGATCAAAGCAAAAAGGGCAAAAAACATGCTAATGTAAGACAGACGTAATGTCACGTGGCATGTGCATAGATTTATCCATTCAGTTTCTTGTCACTATTATCCTTTTCTTCATTTTTCAAAATAAGAAGATAATGTAAATATGCCATGTGCATGTCGAAGAACTTTGTTTGCACATTTTGGTATCTCATTATCTGAAGAAATTCTTTGCAGCCATTTGGCGCTTGACATTTATTCCATAAAAATCTAGATATAATTATACGATCCAATCCTTAATTTTCTTTAAAGAAAGGAAATATAGAGTAGAATCTTTTCAAAAGAAAAAAATAATTGAGAGTATAGTTTATATGATTATCTAATTTCTACTATAGCTGGGTTCCAGGCCAGGCAAGCCCACTTTTCACATGCATGTGTTTAACACATTAAAAACAATTAAAAAAAATGTTTATTGTCATTTGTTTAAAGGACTGAATAAAGGAATTTTCTGCACATTCCTTTTATACACAGCATCAGACAAATCATTTAAAACACAACATTATTGGGAAAATGACACTTGTTTTGTCATGTTATATATGTACATTACGTTTACGCGCATTGATTTTATTTATATTTTTTTCCTGAAAGGCTACGTACATA